CCAAAAATATACTGTGTGCACGGCCGGGGGTCGAATGACATGAACCATAGATGCATCTATTAACATGCCGAGGCGAACGACTCGTTCCCATGAGAGTAGAGAATTTTACCTCGCTCGTGGAATACTTGCGACGCGAGTGGACATGGATTTCTCATAATTATTATATATATTCCTCAATTCTTCCCAAAATATAAAATCTAAATTGGAGAGTTTCAATCTTAAAATCCCAAATCTCAACTTTAATTAAGACAATTAATATGCATAACAAACATGACAGTACAATCAAGGCATGGTGTAAATCTAAGACTATCCGGGCATCTCATGGAATATAGCTACACACGGACTCTCATCACCAAGTGCGTACATAGCTCCCCACACAAGTAATTCACAACGAAAATACACCTAAGGGGATGGATTCCCTCTTACAAGGTTAGGCAAGAGACTTACCTCATTCTCAAGCTCATTTTCGATCCAAAAATATGCTTTAAATACTCAACTCGGTGCCAAACAACCCGAAACTAGTCAAATGTTATATAAATTAATCAATACATGTTCAAAAGTTCATAATTTAACTATTAGAGTAATTACCCATCCTAAATTGGAAGATTTCTAAAATTCACCACTGGGTCCACGTACCCGAATTTCGGAAATTTTTGAAGATAATTATTACCCATAACCTCACGAATTCAAATATAAAGTTTTCACCCAATTCCATAATCATTTTCGTGGTTAAATCCCATTTTTATCAAAACCTACGTTTTTTTACCTAAACCATAATTTTCATAATTTTACATGTTAAAATCTACCCAAAATCTATGTATTTAACTTACATTAGGTAGGAATTACTTAACTTCAATAACTAGGTGAAATCATTCTCTAAGAAGCTCCAAAATCGCCCAAGAAGTGAAAGAAAATGAGTCAAAAATGGCCTAAGTCCTAACATTAAAAGACCTCACTGCCTCCAACACTTTCGCTTCTGCGGACCTGGGGCCGCATCTGTGGCGCCGCACCTGCAGGAAAGTCATTGCAGGTGCAGTCCTAGCCCAGGCTGGCTGACTCCGCTTCTGCGGACATGCTCCCGCTTCTACGGAGAGTGGAGCGCATCTGCGGTCTAGGCCTGGCCAACCTCTTATCGCACCTGCAGACCTCTCATCGCAGAAGTGAGGCCGCTTCTGCGGATGTTCCTCCGCTTCTGTAGACCACTGGCCACACGCCCAAAGCCACTTATGTGGCCAAGAGCTCGCACCTGCAGCCAAAAGCTCGCATGTGCGGGCACACCAAACCTGGTGCACCTGCAGCCCCTTTCAAGCTTTAACTTGATCTGTGCATCATCCGAGTAGCACCCGAGGCCCCCGAGATCTCGTCCAAACATACCAACAAGTTTGTAAACATGAGACGGACTCGCTCGAACCCTCATAAAGCGGAAAACAACACCAAAACTAAGAATCACACCCCCAAACCAAATCGAATCAACTTATGAACTTCAAGTTATTCCAACTTGCTCCGAACACGCCGAATCATACTTAAACTACTCAGAATGATACCAAATTTTGCGTGCAAGTCTTGAATCATCATACGGAACTATTTCCGGCCTCAGAATCGCAAACGGGCCTCGATAACACTAAAGCCTACTCCAAACCAAATTTAAAGAACTTTTAAACCTTAATAAGCCAACTTTCAACTTTAGGGGCCGAAACTCTCTCGGGTCATCCAAAACCCGATCCGGACATACGCCCAAGTCCAAAATTATCATACGAACCTATTGGGACCGTCAAATCCCGATTTTAATGTTGTTTACTAGAAATATTGACCCAAGTCAAACTTAACCTTTTAAAGTCAATATTGAGGAACTAAGTGTTCCGATTTTAACCTGAACCCTTCCAAACCCGAACTAACCATCCCCGCAAGTCACAAAATAGAAAAGGCACATATGGGGAGTCTTATTTAGGGGAACATGGATCTAGGAAGCAAAACGACCAGTCAGTTCGTTATATTTTCCACATCTTAAATAAATGTTCGTCCTCGAACGGGTCTAGAATCATACCTGGAGTACCGAATAAGTGTGGATACCTGCCCCGCATGTCCTCCTCGGCCTCCCAAGTCGCTTCCTTGACTGGTTGGCCCCTCCACTGAACTTTAACCGCAGAAATATTCTTGGACCTCTACTGGCGAACCTTCCTATCAACAATGGCAATTGGATCCTCCTCATAACCCAGGCTCTCATCTAGCTGAACCGTGCTGAAGTCTAACACATGCGACCTACCGGCATGATACCTCCGGAGCATTGACACGTGGAAAACCAGATGAACTCCCGATAGACTAGGAGGCAAGGCAAGCTCATACACAATCTCCCCAACCTGTCTCAACACCTCAAATGGACCTATAAAACTTGGGCTCAATTTTTCCTTCTTCCCAAACCTCATGATTCCCTTCATCGGCGAGACTTTCAAGAGAACCTTCTCGCCTACCATAAATGATAAATCACACGCCTTCTGATCCGCATAACTCTTCTGTCTGGACTGCGCTGTGCGATGTCGCTCCTGAATCAACTTTACCTTTTCCAAGGCATCCTTTACTAAATCAGTACCATATAACTTAGCTTCACCGGGCTCAAACCATCCGATGGGCGAACGACATCGCCGACCAAATAATGCATTAAATGGAGCCATCTCGATGTTGGACTGATAACTGTTGTTGTAAGAAAACTCGGCCAAAGATAAGAATTGATTCCACTGCCCTCCGAAGTCAATCACACATGATCTGAGCATATTCCTCCAAGATCTGAACCGTCAGCTCCGACTGCCCGTCGGTATGCAGATGAAAGGCTGTACTGAGCTCTACCCGGGTCCCCAACTCACTATGTACTGCCCTCCAGAAATGCATAGTAAACTGAGGGCCTCTATCTGATATGATGAAAACAGGCACACCATGCAACCGAACAATCTTCTGAACGTAAATCTGAGCCAATATCTCTGAAGAATACGTGGTCACTACCAGAATGAAGTGTGCAGACTTGGTCAACCTGTCGATAATGACCAAAACTGTATCAAACTTCCGCAAGGTCCGCGGCAACCCAACTACGAAATCCATAGTAATGCGCTCCCATTTCCACTCAGGTATAACCATCTGCTGGAGTAGGCCACCTGGCCTCTGATGCTCGTACTTAACCTGCTGGCAATTAAGGCACCTCGCTGCATACTTAACTATGTCCTTCTTCATCCGCCGCCACCAATAGTGCTACCTTAGGTCATGATACATCTTCGTAGCATCTGGGTGAATAGAATACCGCGAACTGTGTGCCTTCTCTAGAATCTTTTCCCTCAATCCATCAGCATTAGGGGACACATAGACGACCTTGGAGTCGCAGAACACCATCCTCACCGATAGTAACCTCCTTAGCACCACCCTGTAGTACCACTCCTTATAATAATACTAGCGTTAGACCCCGCGCGATGCGCGGATAATTTGACAGAATATTAATCTTATAAAATTATGATCTAATATATCATATTATTTTAATAAATATTAGTTTTAATATAGTGTGCAAAAATATAACAAAATCATACAAACTCAAAGGATACGCATCATATAGTAACAAGTAAATTATTTTTTCCTTATTTATTCTTATTGTCAAATTAGCAACTAGTTAATATTATACATTTACTAATGAGACTTTTTATTAATTTGTCAATTGGCTCAATAATTTGATACTACTTCTCTTTTAATATAACATAGATATATATTTTCTTACTCTTGAAATAAAATTATTTTTTTAAACTTATGTTATATTGTTCAAAATTCTTCAATTATCTAAATTTATTGATAATTGTTTTGAGTGTTATTTATTTATCTTTTATTTTTAATCAATTTAAAATATAAATATCATAAATTTATCTTTATCCCATTCTTTTCATACATTCTTTTGTACGGTAATATTTGATTAGTTTTCTCATTTTGTAGTTTACTGAAAAATTTAAATAATATAATATTGTTTTACTAAATTATAATTTTGAATTCATAAAAAATATAAAGAGATAAGCATTTTATTATTTTTATAAAAAAACCTACCAATATTTTAATAATTATTAATTTGTATTATATAAATATAATGTACTCATCTTATATATAATATCATAATAGTATCTTTATATTTTTCATTATGAAATTGTGAGTTCTATTTATTAACTAAATCTCATAAATGAGAAATTTAATTAGTACATACATTTTACGCTATCGCTTGAATATTTTTTTTAGTATTCTTCTTTTATAACTATTTATTTATTATGATTTTAGTTATGTGTATATGTACGACTTTTCTCATCATAATTCTAATAACAATGCCACTTAGACTTTTTGTAGTTATGCCACTTGGCTTAGTGACTAGTACTCCATAATTATAGATAGATTTTAAAACTTCAACTTGAAAGTACTCCATAATTTGAATGTAGTTTTTTTTGTTTCTATGTTTTTATTTTTTATTATATATAATTATAAGATATTTATATTTATTAATTCAAATAGAGTAACCAATTAATTCAAAATTTAAAATTCAAAATATGTTTTAGTTAGAAAGGTAGTTTATTTTGTCTAAACAATGCCACTTGGCTTAATGAGATTGCTTTTTCTTATACTTTTAATTATAGATAGATAGTTCTAAATTAATACTCGAAATAATAAAATTATTTAAATTTATTAATAGTAGTTTTAAGTATTATATAATAAAATTTCCAATATCTTGATTTAATTTTATTATTATTAATTAATTAAGAAATAAGTTATATGTGATTTTTTCTGGTTATGCCATATGGCTGAATTAGTTATTACTTAAAAGTTAATTAGTTAATACGTTACATGTGGCAAATTTTAAAGCTTTCACTTGGCTTAAGGAAATGAATTTTTCTTTTTATTTTAATAAATATAGATATAGATATAGATTCTAAGGAGTACCTTTTTCAATGGGCTTTTAAAGTTTGGGCTCAAACGTCAACTAACGTTAAGGTACAGATTCAGCCAACCCGCCCAGATTCACAACAGCATAGGTCAGTAAACTTTACAAAAACCCTAACACACACCGAGTCGCCATTTCACCCGCCGTGAGCACAAAAAAAGCTCAGTTTCCCTCATCAAAGAATCCTACTCTCTTCTTACTTCTCCAATTTCAAGGTACAGAAATACATTGCTTCTATGTACCATTTTCAGATTTCATTTACATTTTTCCTGCTCTTGCTTTGACCTCTCTTTTTTTTTTTTTCCTAGTGTTACTTTCAATTTATGTAGCTTTTCTGTGTTTTTATTTTTTGTTGAAAATATGTATGTTTTTGTGTGTCTGTGTGTGTGATCTATTTTGTTCGTGCGAAGTGTGAAAAAAAATTACTGGTGAATGATTGTTTTATCTCAATATTAAGTATTGATGATTCAGCTTAAGCAAGTTATATACTTGTGCTAATTATGTGCTGTTTAATTACTTTATTCGTTCTACGACAATGTTAATAATTAAAATATCACTGGTGTGTGAGTTTGGTTTTCTGTTTTTGGGTTTAAGCTGATCACTAGTTTCTTAAAGGATAGAGAGAATATTTTTAGAGAACCTATAATGCACTGGGATTTCTAGGTGAGATAGGGAACAGTTAAATATAGGGGCAATTTAAAATAAACGAATAATATGTGGTCGCAAGATCGGCCATGGGGGCATATATACTAGTCTTTTTAATCCGTTTGGTTATCTATTTTTTTTTGTGCTTGCGGGTTGTTGTCCACATGGTCAGTGAGGCCGGCCCTAACTTGTTTAGGACTGAGGCGTTTAGGACCGAGGCATAGTAGTAGCTGTTCTTGGGTGCTGTCCAATTTGATGATTCTTCTTGATATGAACATAGTTTCAGTGCTTTGATGAATCATATCATTTGACATTGTTATATGACAGCCATGGGTGAGGAAGTTAAGGGAGCTGTTCCAGTTCCAGAGTCAGTGCTGAAGAAGCAAAAGAGGAGTGAGGAATGGGCCCTTGCAAAGAAACAAGAGCTTGAAGCTGCAAAGAAGAAGAGTTCCGAGAACCGGAAATTGATCTACAACAGAGCTAAGCAGTATGCTAAGGAATATGAGCAGCAGGTTGGTCAAGCTCAATTGACCCTTGGTTCATTTTCTTGTTTTGAGTGTCAAGCCTAATAACTGGTTATCAATTGTTGTTTTTAGGATAAGGAGTTGATTTGCTTGAAGCGCGAGGCTAGATTGAAGGGTGGTTTCTATGTTGACCCTGAGGCAAAGTTGTTGTTCATCATTAGGATCCGTGGGTAAAAGCTCTTACTGATGCTGGTCTTTTAAACTTTGAGAACACTGGTATCATAGTGGTACTCATTATATTCAATTTTTATAGGATTAATGCTATGCCCCCACAGACCAAAAAGATTTTGCAGCTTCTACGGTTGAGACAGGTAACTAACTACTTGTTTCATGGTATTGCTAGAGAAGTGCTAGGATATTGAGTTGCTATTAGAACACTCACTTTGATTTCATTTGTTAGTTTCTCTTGTTTTACTTGAAATTTACCTCATAAATGTTCTTCTTTATTATTGTGTCATGACTTAACTTCTTCAAAAATCTAGAACAGAATCTTTGTTTCACATGAAAGCTACCGCCTACTCCAGATAAGATTTCATTTGGAACGTACACATAGGTCTTGTTGCTGTAGTTGCTCGAACTGTTCGATCTTCATCCAAACAATTTTGGTGACTCATTCAGATTTTTATTTGTTGTACTTCATGACTTTCATTGTCCTTGAGAATGACTTTGCAGTTTCTTTTTATCTTGATTTTGTTGAGGCAGATCCATTTAGATTTTATTTGATATCTTGAGTTTAATGTATTAGCATTCGTATTGTTACTTTTCCATTATTCTAATTGTGTAATTCTCCTATTCTCATGTTGATGGCAGATCTTTAACGGTGTCTTTTTGAAAGTCAACAAAGCTACAGTGAACATGCTTCACAGGGTTGAACCTTATGTTACCTATGGGTAGGCTATCACTTGAGAGTTTTGCCACTTCCTGCAGCTTTTTGGCTCATGTATCTGTTATTTATGTGCATTGTTTTTCCTATTTCAGTTATCCTAACCTGAAAAGTGTTAGAGAATTGATCTACAAGAGAGGTTTCGGGAAAGTTGACAAGCAGAGAATTGCTTTAACTGACAACTCTGTCATTGAGCAGGTCAGTTTCTGAAAGTGCTTCACCCTTTTATAATTTAACGTCTCTTTGTGTTTTGGTAACATCTATATGTGCTTGTATACCTTTCCTCAGGTGTTGGGCAAACATGGAATTATCTGCATGGAAGATCTAGTCCATGAGATCTTGACCGTCGGACCCCATTTCAAGGAGGCTAACAACTTCCTATGGCCATTCCAGCTTAAGGCACCTTTGGGTGGACTCAAGAAGAAAAGGAATCACTATGTTGAAGGAGGTGATGCTGGTAATCGCGAGAACTATATCAATGAACTTATTAGGAGGATGAACTAAGTCATCTGGCAATTTTGCTTTGTTAGGAGTTATTTCATCTCATCTTTTTAGACCATTCTGGGTTATTAGAGTAAAAACAGCTTCAGATTTTCTGCCTTCATTTGAGACTGTTTAGAATTATTAGAATATACGACAATATTTTTGGTTTCTCCCCAGGGAGCTTGTCTTTGTTGAATTACAATCCCTATTTAGTTTTTGAAGTTCTTGTGCTTCGGTGCCTTGAATGTGATTCTACAGTTTCTTTCAAATTTTTGGGTGAATTACGAAATGTTAGGATGAGGTTCCAGAGAGCCAGATTTAGTGGCAAACCTTCTGATTAAGAGGGGGTTTCAAAAATTTTAAAGCAGTTGTTGAGGTAGCCTTTGAATATTTACGGTCAAGAATCAGAAATTCTAGTAAGTCTTCTGCTTTAGTAATTTGATAACACAGTTACAGAGAAAAGAAAACTGGCCTTTTGGGTATTACTACTGAGCTTTGTTTTCTGCATTTGGTGTTGCTGCCTCTCGCTGGGGCCTGGGAGTGTTTTGGACTTCCCAAGTATGTCTTTCCTGGTGCTATGATCTTAAGGCGTTAACTTCTGACGTTGTTTGAGGTGTTTGGATTTCTTCTGATCAAAACATTGGCGGGATGGCAGATTTACATGTTGTAGATTTCTTCGCTAGCAATTAAACTTTTGACAGGTTTGAGACTTGAGAGTTGACCCTTTTGAAAGGGTCTTCGGAGCTAAAAGGGTTCAAACTGAATTAAGATGCATCATATCGCCAGATTTTGACATGTTAGGTTCTAAACAATTTTTTTTACACTCACACACTTGTCATGCTTATTTCGAGAGATATCGCCATTAGAAATGACCCTAAAGATTTTGACATGTTTGATTCTAAACAATGATTGTTTTACATACTCGGCACGCTCATATTTTGAGAGATATCATCATTAGAAATAGGTATTACTACAGTATTACCAAACGGCCCGAAACTCATTGAAAATATACACATGAATCAATATACAAAATTAGAGGAAGATTGGAGGTGATTTGGACCGATTCGGAATCAAAATTCTTAGGTAAAATCGAGTTTAGAAAATTCTTTTGCAACACATGTATCATGCATGTATCTCACACACAGGTATACATGGATATACGTGTGATACACATTTGGTACAAATATGATACACATGTTATACACAGATGATACACATTGTGATACACATATCATATTTTTCCATGTTCGTCTTCTACTTAAAATTTTCAATTCAAACCAGCTCAAAAGTCTACCAAATCATCCCAAATTTGAGATTTAAACTCCTTAAAATATATCCAATCTATTCCAATAACACCCACTCAAAAGAAATCATATTTTTGACATTTTTTTGCTACAAATGACTAATTGGTTATTATTGATAATATTTTATGATTTGACTAATTTTTGTACTAACTTATTTATGGACTCACATAACTGGTAATTTTTCTTCCTTTTATTATTCTTAATATTTGAAATGTTTGACTTGGTTTAAAATTTCAATTCTATCTCAACTTTGGGACCAACTTCCTTCTAAATAAATTACACTCTTCTCAACGTTTTACTTGACAATCATGTCTGAAGCAAATCGAAGACCTAAGGCATTAACTTCTAACTTTGTTGTCTTGAGGTGTTTAGAGGTTACTTTGTCTGAAAAGAGTCAAATTTTGCCTTTAAAACATTGGTGGGATGACAGATTTACATGTTGTAGATTTCCTTGCAAGCAATTAAACTATTGACATATTTGAGAGGGTCTTCGGAACTAAAAAGGTTTAATTCTATTACATCGTAACTAAGTAATATCTCCAGATTTTGACATGTTTGATTCTAAATAATGATTGTTTTACACACTCGGCATGCTCCTATTTCGAGAGATATCACCATTAGAAATAGGTATTACTACAGTATTACCATACGACCCGAAACTTTACTAGAAGGTTTCTTTTTATGAAATGTTACGGAAATGTCCCAAATAACTCCTAACTTAGCAATCTCTAGCCATTAATCATAGAGTTACCAAAGCTAGCCAATCAATACAAAAATTAAAAGCCAAATAAATAAGGATTCTTTCTCTCCAAGAATCACATGCAAAGACCTCCTTTCTCATTTTTAAGCGTGATCAACAACATTAGATGGAAGACGGAAAGGAAATTTATTGGATGAGGTAGCAAACAAAGTGATAAAATATAAAAAATAAAAATATATAAGACTCCAAAAATTTAATGGGTATGGTTGAAACTCATTGAAAATATACAAATGAATCAATATATAAAATTAGAGGAAGATTGGAGGTGATTTGGACTAAATCGGTATCAAAATTCTTAGGTAAAATCGAGTTCAAAAAATTCTTCTGCAACACATGTATCATGCATGTATCTCACACACAAGTATATATGGATATACGTATGATACATATTTGTTACAAATATGATACAAATGTTATACACAGATGATACACAGTGTGATACACATATCATCTTTTTCTATGTTCGTCTTCTACTTAGAATTTTCAATTCAAACCACCTCAAAAGTCTATCAAATCATCCCAAATTTGAGATTTAAACTCCTTAAGATGTATCCAATCTATTCCAATAACACCCACTTAAAAGAAATCATATTTTTGATATTTTTTTGCTACAAATAGCTAATTGGCTATTATTGATAATATTTTATGAATTGACTAATTTTTGTACTAACTTATTTATGGACTAACATAACTGGTAATTTTCCTTCTTTTTATTATTCTTAATATTTGAAATGTTTGACTTAGTTTAAAATTTCAATTCTATCTCAACTTTGGGACCAACTTCCTTCTAAAAAAATTACACTCTTCTCAACGTTTTACTTGATAATCACGCCTAAAGCAAATCGAAGACCTAAGGCATTAACTTCTAACTTTGTTGTCTTGAAGTGTTTAGAGGTTGCTTTGTCTGAAAAGAGTTAAATTTTGCCTTTAAAATATTGGTGGGATGGCAAATTTACATGTTGTAGATTTCCTTGCAAGCAATTAAACTATTGACAGGTTTGAGAGGGTCTTCAGAACTAAAAAGATTTAATTCTATTACATCGTAACTAAGTAATATCTCCAGATTTTGACATGTTTGATTCTAAATAATGATTGTTTTACACACTCAGCATGCTCCTATTTCGAGAGATATCACCATTAGAAATAAGTATTACTACAGCATTACCATACGGCCCGAAACTTTACTAGAAGGTTTCTTTTTTGGAAATGTTACGGAAATGTCGCAAATAACTCCTAACTTAGCAATCACTGGCCATTAATCATAGACTTACCAAAACTAGCCAAGCAATACAAAAATTAAAAAGCCAAATAAATAAGGATTCTTTCTCTCCAAGAATCACATGCAAAGACCTTCTTTCATATTTTTAAACGTGATCAACAACATTAGATAGAAGACGGAAAGGAAATTTCTTGGATAAGGTAGCAAACAAGGTGATGAAGTACAAAAAATAAAAATGTATAAAACTCCTAAAATTTAATAGCTATGGTTGAAACTCATTGAAAATATACACATGAATCAATATACAAAATTAGAGGAAGATTGGAGGTGATTTGAACTGATTCGGTATCAAAATTCTTAGGTAAAATCGAGTTCAGAAAATTCTTCTACAACACATGTATCTCACACACAGGTATACATGGATATACGTGTGATACACATTTGGTACAAATATGATACAAATATTATACATAAATGATACACAGTGTGATACACATATCATCTTTTTTCATATTCGTCTTCTACTTAGAATTTTCAATTCAAACCACCTCAAAAGTCTACCAAATCATCCCAAATTTGAGATTTAAACTGCTTAAGATGTATCCAATCTATTCTAATAACACCTACTCAAAAGAAATCAAAATTTTGATATTTATGGCCACAAATAGCTAATTGGCTAATATTGATAATATTTTATGAATTGACTAATTTTTGTACTAACTTACTTATTAACTGACATAACTGGTAATTTTCCTTCTTTTTATTATTCTTAATATTTGAAATGTTTGACTTGGTTTAAAATTTCAATTCTATCTCAACTTTGGGACCAACTTCCTTCTAAAAAAATTACACTCTTCTCAACTTTTTACTTGATAATCATGTCTGAAGCAAATTGAAGACCTAAGGCATTAACTTCTGACTTTGTTGTCTTGAGGTGTTTAGAGGTTGCTTTGTCTGAAAAGAGTCAAATTTTGCCTTTAAAGCATTGGTGGGATGGCAAATTTACATGTTGTGGATTTCCTTGCAAGCAATTAAACTATTGACATGTTTGAGAGGGTCTTCAGAACTAAAAAGGTTTAATTCTATTACATCGTAACTAAGTAATATCTCCAGATTTTGATATGTTTTATTTTAAACACTGATTGTTTTATACACTCGGTATGCTCCTATTTCGAGAGATATCACCATTAGAAATAGGTATTACTACAGTATTATCATATGGCCCGAAACTTTACTAGAAGGTTTCTTTTTAGGAAGTGTTACGGAAATGTCTCAAATAACCCCTAAGTTAGCAATCACTAGCCATTAATCATAGACTTACCAAAACTAGCCAAGCAATACAAAAATTGAAAAGCCAAATAAATAAGGATTCTTTCTCTTCAAGAATCACATGCAAAGATCTCTCTTCATATTTTTAAGCGTGATAAAAAATATTAGATGGATGGTGGAAAGAAAATTTCTTGGATGAGATAGCAAACAAGATGATGAAGTACAAAAAACAAAAATATATAAGACTCCAAAAATTTAATGAGTATGGTTGAAACTCATTGAAAATATACAGATGAATCAATATACAAAATTAGAGGAAGATTGGAGGTGATTTGGACTAATTCAGTATCAAAATTCTTAGGTAAAATCGAGTACAGAAAATTCTTTTGCAACACATGTATCATGCATGTATCTCACACACAGGTATACATGGATATACATGTAATACACATTTGGTACAAATATGATACACATATTATACACAGATGATACACATTGTGATACACATATCATCATTTTCCATGTTCGTCTTCTACTTAAAATTTTCAATTCAAACCACCTCAAAAGTCTACCAAATCATCCCAAATTTGAGATTTAAACTCCTTAAGATATATCCAATCTATTCCAATAACACCCACTCAAAAGAAATCATATTTTTGATATTTATTTGCTACAAATGACTAATTGGCTATT